ACAGTTTCAGTTTGTATTCTAATCTAATTTCCAAAGAGACAGGAAAAGTAGCCAAGCCTGCAAGCACCCAAGTTACTGCAAGCGTATCCCTAACATCTCTATAAAGGTAATTCACTCCAATCTTTTATTATCTAAAGATTCTCTGAGGGTATGATTCTCTTTACCCCTCTTTAAGAAGAAATTACCTCACAGACCTAATTTCATCGCAAGGTTGGACAACCTGAGATGATTCCCAAGGTGATCCATGGGTAGGAGATGGTTTGGCATCTTCACTCTCTAGATTATTAATTAAATCCTTTTCACAAAGGTAACAAAGATCCTGAAATTTGCTTTCCCTCCATGATCAGTTCTGTAACTAATCTCGCCATTTCAAGCTTTCTCACTTGAAAAGTATTATAGAAACATCAAGAGCATAAAAAATGAATTTTTGGACAGTGTCTAGCTTCGCCCTATAAATGTGCTAATGTTTCTGAGCTGGGCTGGAAAATGATTCTCAACCACTCTAGCTTCCTTATTGCTTTGTTCTGGCTAGATTGGCAATTCAACCTTTCAAAAAACCTCTTCAGATGAAAATGTGCCTGGTAAGGTCCTGAAGCATATTTTCCTTTACATTTTAAACACCTGGTCCAACTTGGTATATTAAACAGAAAAAGGTTACTTTGCCAGTTACACAGTTAGAGTCTTTTAATTAGATTCCCTTTTAATACCTGTTTTCCAGAATACATTAAGGCATTTTAATAATCTGTCCTTGTTGCCTCAGAATGACCTTGTTGATATGCAGGTGCATTTTACAATATATTCCTCTCTGTATCTTGTAACCTATTTCAGTAATGTTGCAAGTAGTGTCTTGCAATTTATTTACCTCAGACCATTGCTCTTGGTCTTTATTCTGAATGTCACCATGCTTAGCTTCTACCAATTGCAAGAGCAGTGCCACTGTTAGCCAGAACACTGACTTTACAACAGTGACTTTAACACTGACGGCATCACTGAGCACTCTATCATCCGATTCCACGCTGCTAACTCACCGACTACAGCATAAGTGTCCCAAGTGAAGTGACTGAAAATATAGAGAGAATTTTGAGCAGGTGAGGTTCGAAAACACCTCTTGCATGATGTGGAATGCACGGAAAACCTTTCATGCATGACCAACAGTTCTTGATAAACAATCTTTGATCAGGAATAAAGAATCAATGGGTTTAGGGGGTAAAAGAGAAATGCATTCAGTGTATGGTTTGTAGCATCTCTATGTTCTTAGTGGGGGAGGGATAGCTCAGTGGTTTGAGCATTGGCCTGCTAAACCTAGGG